GTGTGTTGTACAGGCTCTGGCAAAGTCCAGGCACTGTCCTCTTGTAAGAGGGTGTTCTGACCTCAAGATATCTCTGTGTGTACAGAAACTGTAGGACAACGTATTTGCCTCCTGATGAGTGAGAACTGGATTTTTTTTTTTCCCTTTGAAATGGAGTTGCCATGGCAAGCGGAACTTTTGGGATGTTTGCTGTTCATCTTGCTTCTCAGGCTGTGACTGGGCCCTCCTGGGATGGGCTGACTTGCTTTCTGACTTTGCCCATCCCTGCAGTGATGGTAGTGCGGGACGGACCCCTCGTTTTGCAGGGAGCAGTCCACATGCATCTGATGTTTAGTGCTTCTGCAATCCCAGACCCACCATCTGCTCAGAAATGAAGCAAAAGGCTCAAATGTGTGGGTGCAGAGTCTAGTGGATGTGAAGCCAGGGGTGCTGCATGTGGGTGAACAGGGGCACCTTCATCTCCCCACCTCCTCCTCCTCCTCCTCCCCCACCTCACTGACAAACGAGATGCCCACAGCCCTCTCGCAATGCCTCCCCTGCCAGGCAGCGTCCAGCACCCGGACCAGACCCTCTGCAGAGCACCACAGGGAAGGCAGAGGCTGTCTCCCCTGCTCGCCCATCGGTTCCCACCTCTCCCTTTGGCCTCAGGAGCTGCAGGCTGGGAAGCAGCTTCTGCCCAGGCTGGAGATCAGGGGAGCTGAACCCAACGTGGCCGAAAGTGCTTTGCATCCCACTAACCACAGCCTCCTTCCAGTCCTGTCCCCCACCCCTGCTCAAATTCAAGTTGTACCCTGCCCACAGGGAAGGGAAGAAGAAGCCTGCAGAGCAGGAGACCCAGGGCAGGAGATGGAGATGGGATCCGCTGCTTCCTTGGAGCTGCCAGAGGGCAGCTGGAACAGCTTTACGGAGCAGGGCAGCATGGCATGGGTATGCGGGGAGGAAGGGAGCCCGGCTGGGCTGGCGGAGGGCTGTAGGGCAGGATGGAGCTGGGCTTGCTGAGCCTGCTGGCAGAGGTTCGTGCTGATGGCTGAGGAAGCGGTTAGCAGTGCAGGTTACAGGGCTGGAACAGGAGAGCCGGGTAAGCGTGGAATTCCCCTGCTGTTTTCCTCCTCCCTCGCTCTCCTCTCTAGCGCTGCTGGGGCCATTTCCTCCCCTGAACAAGCTTCTCTTGTGCGAATTGTTTGCATGATTTCCTACTGCTCTGCTCCGCCAAAGTAAGGAGCTGGGAGTGAACTGTTCCTGCTGCAGACAGGGACCTTATCTAGAGAGGGAGAACAATTTGTCACACCAAATTCTACTGAATGCTGGATCCCTTGTCCTAGGTGCTTCTGGGGTGAGATGGTGAAGGGAGAGGCTGCTTTGAGGACAAGGTGTCTTGCCTCACAGATGGGGAGGGGGGGTCTGCATGGACAGCCCCTTTTCTAGAGGGAGGGAAGAGGGTAGCCAGAGAACTGGTGGGACTTCATCAGTTCTGCTCGTGTGTCAGAGCCGGGTGTCGCCTTTACCCCATTCTTCTGCCTCCGATCCTCAGGTGTGGACACTTTTCCTACCAGGTGCTTGAGGTCACTCAGAAGCCTGGGAAATGGACAGCACTGTGGAAATGGATGCTCTCCTGTCTCTAAACTAGGACCACCTTGGGCATGGCATGCTCAGACCCAGGGACATCCCCAAGGATGGCCCTGACCCCTCTGCTCCGGAATCTTTATCTCTCTGATGATAAGTAGATCACCTCGTGCCAGGGATGCCCTGTGCCCATGGGACCTTTGTGATTCAGAGCACGAATGAGTCCCCTTGTGCCACGACGGAGCCGGTGAGCAAGTGGAAAAGCTGAGAACGAGCCCAGCAGTCTGTTCTCCTAGGTTGGCCACATTTCCGCTGCCCACAGCTCCTCCATCCCCTGCCCTTTCCAAAAGTCCCCGCTGGGCATCCACCCCCGTGGCTGCAAGCAGGAGCGTGGGTAGGGAGGGAGCAGGCAAGCAGAGGAGAGGCATGCAGGCAGCCGGGGTGGGGGCAAGGGTCTGAGCATGGTGGGGTGGAGAGCTTGTTCTGGCAAAGGCATAGGGCCGTGGATGGGCAAGGAGGGGTGTCTGGCACCGAGCGGGTATCTCTCCATCACCGTGCCCTGGCTCTGGGGCTTCAGCTGTGAGCGCTGAGTGCCAGGGTGCAGCAGCCCGTCAGCGGACGGACGGGACGGCACGGCTGCCATGGCAGGGAGAGGTGTGTTTGTAGCCTGGGCTGGAAGAAAGTGGAGATTGGCACGATGCTTGTGCCTCAGGTCTCCTGGGTGTAGGAGGTTTCCCGGTTTAGCAGGATACAATCCCGATTCCTGGTTGGCATCACTGCCTGTGGCATGGAGTGCCTCGGTGTGCACGTGCTCTTGGTGGGCTTGTCCCAGCCCGGTGGCCTTGCTGTGATTCCCCCGAGTAGCTCAATGGCTTTTGGCAGCCATTTCAGGAAGCTGAGGGCTGGCGATGAGGAAAGGGGGGAACGAATGCAGAAATGAAAGCGCAGGAGGAGGCTGCACCTAGGTGGAGAAGGAAGAGGGAGAGGGGGGAAGCAGTCCTTCGAAGCAGGCACATCCCAGCTTCAAGGTGAAAGCCTGAGCTCTGACCAGGTGGGGATGGTCACCTCCATCGCCTCTGCGGCATAGATGCCCAAACTTGCTCGGCATCAGCCCAGCCGCGAGCAGCTCTGCTGCCTTGTCGAGCTGCAAAGCCACCCAAGCCAGGAAGAGCGAGGTGCTGGCAGCGGCGGAGGGCTGCCCAGGGTTTCCACCTCCCCCCAGGTGACTGCCCGACTTGTCCCCACATGATGGCACGGCATGGCGT